GATTGGTGACAGATATTTCAGTATCTCAGTGGAGGGAAAAAAAGTGTTCAGTTCAGGAAACATAGAACCAACCCCTTTTATATATCATGACCAGACAACTCAATTCAAAGAAACTCAACCACTTTACTGACCATTGTTTAATTGCATAGCAATATAGGCCAGTTCATGTGCATTATCTTTTTGAGAAACTTTCGGAAAGCCTTCATCCAAAGATCCAAAACGAAAACTGCATCATATCAAAACTTTTATGCAGAAAAAATAAATCGTTTCTCAAGCCTAAATAGGCCATATAATCCTAAGAAAAAACATCAATCTATCATAAGTTAGTGGTATATACAGTCACCTTTTATTGGTAGTTCAATGGTGAAGACATTTAGTAAAGGCAATAGTCGGAACTCCTGGCATTTATGATACCTAACTAAGGATATATGGAGGCCAAGAATCATTAGATGTTGTGTACGATTCACTGATTTTGGGAAAAATAAATCTTCAGGGAAAATCTTGGTTCAGGGGGAATATATGCAAACTAGATAAATATTTTGAGCAACAACAGGTTTCATAGGTTACGATATGTCGTGAACTCATAGAAGCAGGAAATATGGACCATTGGATTCCGACCCAATGGCTCAATGAATCTTGGGCTCGACACCTGGCAAGGTCATGGGTACGCACTGCTGAGGAGTCCTATGCTAGGACGAAACAGCTATCCAGTACTTCCAGGTTTCCAATGTTCCTCTAACTGATGCCAATTTATGATGATTTTCAACCTAAAAGCCAATTAATTAATCTCCACAAAACTTCCAGATGGAAATAATATTCGTTGAAATGATTTAACTACCAGTAAAATCATGATTATATATTCTACCATCTACATTATTCGGAATCCTTAATAAAACGATAATATTCTTTCCTGATTGTTTTCACTACCAAGAACGTTTTAAATCCTCCATTAGTTAGAACTGTTTCCTTTTGTGTGAATATTCATCTCTCACCATCCTCATTTCTTGTTTTACTTTACTATACAAGAGAATTATATAAATAGTAGTCTAATAGGTATTCATTTAAAGTAGTCAAAAAAGTCTCTATTTCATTTCATTGCTATCTGATTAAATGTTTATGACGTATAAGTGTCAATACTAGCCTGCATAGCCACGACTATCTCAGATAGTCAAAATGATAATCAATATGATCCTTCCCTTCTCCAATTCAGTTGGATTTGGAATGAGATGAGAAGTCCTGGCTGTTGGGCAGCACATGTGAATACAATCCAGTGGCATCAACGCTTTACGAATTCATATGGTAGTCGGGCGAAATCCATGGTGATTGAAGTGGGATAAAAATGTGGTCAGTAGTCGAGAAGTAATTTGGCAGTTGCTTCAACACTACGGTTTTAGTGCCACAAATATTCATCAACCTCATCCAACAACTATATGAAGACGCCACATGCCAGCCAAGTAATTCACAATGTGAAGCTTAGTGATGCCTTTGAAGTGAAGACAGGAGTGAAACAAAGCTGTCTACTATAACCGATGGTCGTCCTGATTGTGACGGACTGGATCATGCAACAGACAGCTGTGAGGAGCGAGAAGAGGGAGATACGCTGAACCAATGAAAACACCCTAGAAGATTTGGATTTCGCCGACGACGTGTGTCTGATGTCGCAAGAACTTGAAGATCTACAGGCGAAAACAGAAGAAGCAAGGCAGCGAAAACGGGATTTCAAGTGAACGTAGAGAAGACAGAAATCATGAAGATACCCAACCAACAACAAGCTCCAATCACCATCAACGTGAGGAATCTAAAGGAAGTTGTCTCTTTCACCTGCACCTACCTATGCAGCATCATTTCAATTACGAGAGGCACAGGTACAAATGAGGACATCAAAGCAGCCAGGATCGGAAAGACAGCAAGACAGGCCTTCCTGCATTAACCTGAAACCAGCCTGGAGATCTTCTGCACTCAGCATGTGGAACAAGATCCGGATTTTCAACACCAACGTCAAGTCAGTGCTTCTATGTGATGGTTCAGAAGCTTGGCGCGTTACGAAAGGGATTTCCAACAAACTACAGATATTCATCAACAACTGCCACCTACGCTCACTCGTCACTGAAGCTCAGATGGCCAGAATAATAAGAATAAGCAACTAGGAACTCTGGCTGACTGACAACGAACCAACCAAGAACCTGTCACCCAACGAATATGCAGGAGAAGAAAGTGGAGATGGATTGGACATACACTGAGAAGACCGATTGGCAATATCACGCGTCAGGCCAGGCCCTCGGGTGGAACCCCGACGGGAAGAGACGAGTTGGGCGTCTTAGGTGAGGGTGACATGGAGGAGATCTTGTGAGGAGGGAATGAGAGCTTGTGGGCTGTCGTGCAGCCAGGTTCAAAAGATTGCAGAGAACAGAGTTCACTGGAGACGTGCTACTGAAGCCCCATGTTCCATTAGGAACACAAGGGACAAATAATAATAATAATAATAATAATAATAATAATATTAATGATAATATGATAAGTCGGACCTCATAGCTCAGTGTGTAGAGTATCGTGCCAGAAACCTGGTGTTCAGTGGTTCGAATCCGGCCTCATTTCAAGTTTTCATTTCACTTTTAATCATCACTTAGTATCAGTACTGGTCTGCCAAACCACAACTGCTATCTCAGATAGTTAAAGTGAAAATTTTTATAACCTAGAATATCATGATATATGGTTACATTAGAAAATTTTAAAAACCCTCTGTTTAACGGTGAAGTTTTGTTAGATTGATATCGGATATCCTGAGTGCATATTAAATGAAAGCATCTGAAGTCTGTTGCTAACATGAGATGAAGACTGAAGTACTCAAATATAATGTCTATGGTTTCCTGGGGTAGTAACTTTGTGAACAAGAAGGCCACACTGAATGATTTTACAAAGTTTGTTGAGTTGATAAACGTCTTTGGGGCATATTCACCCAGTTGTCAACTAACAGATTTCAACTGTTCAATCAGTAAATGAACCACTGAGTGTTGGTATGAATTAATCTAAGTGGAATACCTTGCTGGTGGTCGGTAACTGTTTTATATTCTCTGAGCTCTAAGATTCGTTCTTCAATGATTCATCATCAGGCTAGTTAACTTCATTTTTTGATATATACATGGCAGAAGAGACCTCCTCAAATTCATACAACTATGTATAAGATTATTAACCGATTCACTCATCAGAAGTTCGTTTAACATTTTTTTGATGACTAGCAGAGGAATCTAGGACGCACATTTCTTCCTATTTCGGACGTGTCACCTAGACTTATCTGTACTCCAGTGAGTGATGTCGTTCCAAAAGAGGTATGGAAAAACGTCACTCACAAACACGTGCCTTGGATTACTCTACTAGTCACCAAGATCAATATAAAATCATCAATAATCCGTAGTATCGAGTTATTTGCATAACAGCTCATCTGCCAATAAAGGGCGAGCAGTTCGAACTTGTATACCAACGGAAAGTTATAAGTATCATAAGAATAATCTTTTTGATTCGCGTATCTATTTGATCAATCAAATATTTTTTCGATTATGTTATTAATAAAACAAGATGTATGTCAGTAAAATGAATCACTTATTTCTATTCACTGCATTTGCATCTACCAGTTGGTTGTACAAATTCTTAAACTGGGCCTGTATATTAACTTTATCATATATTTTATTATATATGATAATCTCACATTAACCATTAAGTCTACAACGTTTTCTACTCTTCTATATTCCTCAAAGTAGCCGAAGTTGTGGACAGGGAACACATGGACTGTGTTTTGTGTACCAATGTAACATAATCGAAACTTCTTGACAAGCACCATACGCAACAATACCACATTAATATTGAAACTGATTTTGTTGATATTCATTGGACAGCGAACAACTCAACTAATAAATTACATCTTTTCGAATCTTATGGTGTTTGTCTTTTCAGTTTACCAGTCATTGTCACTTTTGATTGATGCGTGTTGGTTAGGATAAGGCCTGCAACAGCCTGGTTAAACAGAGCTGATATCTCCTCATGTTATCCGATTTACGTTGGAAAGCAATGTAAGTATTACCGTTACGATTACACACCAAAAGGTATGTTCCAGTTCTGGGTTTCATACTGTTACACGGGAGAAGAACTTTATTTCTAACTTCTTAATGTTTATTATCTATTGACAAGTGGGTCAGGATTACCCGTTATGCTACGAATCAGCAGATAAGGAGTAACCAGGCTGTTACTCTTCATCTGTGCAGACCAGACGATCTGGCAGCTATTCCATACTTTGAGAGCTGCATATACAAACTGAATGTTAAACGTCTTGACGACAACACCTCATTTTATTCCTCACCCTTACTTGTAAACCAGAAACAACATGTATGGATATGGCTGATGAGTCATCAAAAGGATTTCCACTTGATACTTTCAAAAACAACAATTTCAAGTTGATCCTACATCATTTTGCTTGGAATAGGAAAAGAAAGTGTTTGATACTCTTTCACTCCATAAAAATTAGCAAGTAAAGGTTTCGTTTCACGGATCCCAAGATTCAACAGTTATACCATCTTGCTAAGCCTGACTTGGCGTTAGTTGTTGATTCTACTCTGATGGAAGTACTTTTTAAATCTTGATTCAGTAGAGCGACTGAACTTCTCGAATTTCATCTCAACGCAGTCATTTAGGCTGGTCGAACAAAATTGGGGATTATTACAAGGTAGAGAACAATAGGTTTTAGACCAGCTGAAGCAATAAAACTCCGGAAAATCAATTCACCAGGCTCTTGATGTACAGAAAACTACCATCAGTAAAGGGGGTTTTACTTGGTCTAAATGCTAACGTTATTTACCAAGGTTAGGATGTCATAATCCGTTGTTACAACTTTTCGAATTCAGAAGAAGAATCAAGGGGTAAGGGATGCTTTCCAGATGAGTCATATGAGTTAAAATGTCGATCAGAAGTTGTTTTTTGGGCGTAAAATTTCCAACAGTCAAAATACTTACCTCTTTTATTAACTCAGCAGGCGGGTTGTTGTTATAATTCTCCACCGATTTGAATGGCGTTCTGTCATGTGAAAAATGACAACCTTCTCCATAGCGACATCCAGCTGAGGAACTAATGCTTTCAGTGGATAACTGTGGATTTACCTACCCATAGAATTTGCATGGTGGCTTCTTATTCGGTATATGCAAAAATTTACAGTTATCTCCATACCAGCAACCTCCTAATGTGTTAAAATAACGGCAGATTTTCTTCTCTGGATCAGCCATCTTTCCGAACTAGTGCTTCGTTCACTGAATAAATCAATCGATTAGAAGGCTTTATTGGCACGTTTGAATTTTCAAATTTACCGATCGAACCTCAGGTTTATTACTGTGCTTGACACTATTATTTAGGCATGTATATCCTTCTTATCGCTTTATTAGAATGGCCACTCATAGATGAAAAACTCCAAAGCAAAATCATGCCATAAACAAATGAACACATTTCATGAGCGAAAACTAAAATAGCAATCAAAAGCGCTCCATTTACGTTACCGGTGAATTTAAAGAGGTGAGTTGTCTAAAATGTAAATAAATTTTTTAGATAATATTAACAAAGGTATTCCAGTCTGTAGAAGTAACTGACTGACACTGTGATGACACATGTGTTTTAACGCCTAATATTTCAGTATTTGAAAAAGTTATTTGATATCGCTTACAATCAATTACGTTTCATTTTTTGTATTCCTTCAGCCATATTTTCTGCAGAATCTTACTAGATTCATTCCATTTGCCTTATGTTAGGTTTATCAGGTGTATGACGGCTGTATTTTCTCTAATCACTACCGAATTTACTGTTACTAGATACTGATTTGTTTTTTATCGTTCGATTCTAGGTTTTATGGAACAGGTCCTTGATGGATTCCAGTGCAGTAGATCCGCACACTTGCCTGTTGTCGATTCGGCATAATCAACGAGCAGTTGGATATTGATTAAACTTGTAGAGAGTGTATAGTTTTTCCAACGTGATGTAGATGGATTCCTCAGCTATCGTGCCACCACACAGTTGTTCAGACTAGTTTTAAAAAGAAGACAGAAAAGATGAGAAGATATCCAGCGGAAACAAGATAGTGAAAGTGCAAAACACAAGGTGGAAAGGGAGGAGAAACCCAGGTGTATTCAGTGGCGATAAAAGTACTATTGTGAAACTTAATAAATAGGACGAGACCACGGAGACAGAGGGAAAAGAAGGAGCAAGTGAGGTTATGAAATGAATCGGGAATGGAAATGGCAGCTTAATTTGTGGGGATATGGAAACTGGAGGAGACGTCTAGTGGGCAAATATAAGGTTAAGTCAAGTTTGAGATACAGAAGATTTGATGGAAGGTTTGACTGTACTGTGTTGTTTGGAATTACTTGGTTGTATCAACTTGTTCAGTATCCCAGCTGAATGAGTGCGAACCGTACGTCGTTACGTAGCTGTCTAACCTCTTTTTGAAGCTGTCGACAGACAAGCAGTAGCTTTCTTGGCAGGCAATGAGTTCCAGTAGCCTCAAAGCGGTAGAGCGAAAGTGGGTAAACACACAGAGGTTTTCGAATTTTGATGGGTGATTCTTCCTAGGTTACTGCGAGGATTACTAAAATGGCATTTTGCTAGGATTCCGCTTTTCAGATGACTTGGATTACTTGTAGTTTGTAAACCGTTATCAGTCACTACGTAGCCTACGGTAGCTAAGGAAGTAAAGTCCTCAGTCTCTCAGCCTGTCCTCATAAGGGGTTCTGCCGCATTCCTATAACTCCCTTCATTGCTTATCTCCGGGCTTTCCCCAGAGGGTTGAGGTGTGGTAGTGCAATGACGTAATGAAATCTTTGAGGTCGTCTATGGGTCTTATATAACTTCAGGAAGAAGTCTCGGGTAACGGGACAGAAACTGATTGTTTAGTTGAAGACAATAAGTAAAAAACAGGAGTTATGGCTGGATATTTTACTGAATTTCTCACACAAGAACCTTCTGTGGACACTAATTCAGAAGCATTGACATCCAGCAGATTAAACTCTGCAAGGATCAATCTCAGTGATGTGTTTCGGACATTAAGTACTCTCGATGTGAAAAAATTAACAGAATCGGATGGGTTGCACCCAGTTCTGATCGGAAAGCTTTCCACTCTATGTAGCCGGGTCACTGACTACTATGTTTCGACTGTCCCTTAGTGAAGACGCACTCCCAAATGACTGGAAGACGCCATAGGTTTACCTATATACAAAGCAGGTTTTAGAAAGGATCCGTCAAATTATAGACAGATAAACTTGATTTGTACTGTAGTAAAGACCCTAGAAAGAGCAAGCAAGAAAGCCATTACAGTTCACTGAGGGAGCAAAACTCTATTGTTTTGTTCGCGGCGTGGCTTCTGCAGGAATTTTTCTTGCTTAATGAACATTTCCACAGTCGGAAAAAGTTTGCTTGTCTAAGGATAATAGGATATCTGCAGTTGTCATTCTCAAAGACATTAGAAGGGCATTCGACAAGGTACATTATTCCAGGTGACTCGGGAAACTGGAAAGTTTCGGAACCAAGGACAATCTGCCTCCATGGACCAAAGACTTGCCTATTAAAAGGAGATAAGGATCAATTCTCAACTCTCTTCCTGGAAGTCAGTATAGAGTGGAATACTGCAAGGCGCATTCTTAGGTCTCCTGCTGTTTTTCCTTTACACAAATGAGCTGCCAAATACCGCGGAATCTCTCGTATTTCTCAACACTGGTGATGTAAAAATCTTGCAAGAAATTTGAAATGACGAGGATATACGTGTATTTTAGACAGACCTACACAGCTTATTTACCTGATCAGAGGAGTGTCTAATGCCCATAAACGTAGATAAATGTTTGACCATGCATATGGAGCACACAGATGGTGACACTCACGATATTGGTGGTACTCTTCTACCTTGAATGCTGATCTAAAAAGTCCTGGGAGTCACAGCGAGTTATGATTTGAAGACCACGTCACGGTGTTTGTTGGTCGCAGCTCGGAGTTTCTGAACAATTTGAGAACTACACAAAACGTTTACAAAAATAAGTGGTGATATGTTCGCCGTCTTATACGCATCCTTAGTTAGATCTAAACTAGAAAAACTATACAAAGGTGCAAATTGTTATCTGAGAGGGAAGAGTTTAAGGGCAACCACTTGTATGTTCCCTACGATGACTGGCCTGACCTATGAAGATCGACTTAAGGGGCTGAACTTCTTCCTCTTATCTTACCACGGACAGAAAGGAGATCTAATCATGCCATGCAGGATTCTAAGAAATGATTTCGGACCTGATCTGCTCTTTTCGCTTTTGCTTGGTTGAGACACCTTAGAGGATATATCAGGAGAATACAAAAAGACAGGACGAAACTAATCCAGGTAGAGTAGTGGTTCTCTCGTCAAGTAGTCAACACTTGGAAACGACTTCTCGAAGAAGTGGTATCCGCGTCATCAACTGCATCTTTGAGAAGAGGGCTAGACAAGGACGGGGGTCTACTGGAGAAGGGATAATATAGGCTAATAGACCTCTTTCCTCAAACAAAAATCTGAAGTGTGGTACTGCGCCGGCTCTGGAGACACCTTATGGTTGACTGTTGAAGGTGTCTAGCTTGTCATTCACTATTAATCCGGGGTCTTTATCCGAGGGGATGTGTGAATGCTGCGTACCACAGAGATGGTAAGATACTTCCAGCGAATCGGGAGTGCGGAAAAAAATGTGGCACAGGATTTATCCAGGTTAAATACTACTCTGCAAGCAATCTGAGATAACTTTGTGGTGCACTTGATTCTGTTTCGGATGTCACATCTATTCATAACTCAACACCTTTAGCGTAAAACAGGATCGGAGAGCTGAGAGTCAGTAGGAGGTCGTTCATAAAAGGAAGGAACAGCAATGGACCCAAAATTACTCCTTATGATACACCAGATGATGATGTCCTCCAAGTCGAGCAAAGCCTGTTGACCTTTGGACAGCATTTTCTGCCGCCTAAATAACTCTCTTTTCCGGATGGCACCTGACAGCTGTAATCCAACCTTAGTATTTCGCTTATGAGAGTGGCGTGTGAGATTATGTCGAAGGGCGTGGGAAAATCACATGGACTTGTGGTCTCAGCATGCCGTCCACTTACCATCAGCTCCCAGCAGGTTGAAGGCATGGGACCTACCTTTTCGGGAATCGTGTTGAGCATAACTTAGTGCTCCTTTTTTGTTCAAGCACTTTCTCTAATGGTCATCTACCGGGCATTCTATGACTTTCGATAGAACCGGTAGAAGAGCTATCGGTCGAAAACATGAATTATCACTACTCTTAAGTCATTGTGGGTTAATGCTAAAGTTAGACAAGTCCCACTAATGTCATGGGTGTTTTTATCCAAAGCACATGGTCATATACATATTTGCATTGGTCGGTATCGTGCATTTCACTAAAGAGATTAACAAACTGTTTAGGTCTGTCCCACGTGTGTGCAGTTCATCGTCATCCTTTATTTCTCAACAGATTTCTACATTATCGGTAAGAAGTGTGGGAGATATCGCAGTGCTAGGGAGTTCATTAATATATGAGAGAAATAGCAGTGAACCATAGACTGTCCTGGGGATCTCCACTCGGTGGCTTGTAGGAGGACAATTAAGTACCGGCTCCCAGTCTCTGTCTCTTACCAAAAGGGAACTTTGTAATTCATACAGGTAGATTGTTAATTATTCTCTAACTTCCCAGCTCCATGAACAACCTGGACCTAGGTAGCTTGTAAAACACCCTACTGAAGTCCATCCAAATTAAATCTATGGGCTGCCTATCACCACTGGGCTTAGTCTAACTTCCGCTGACTGTGAGAATGGTTTTCAAGCAAAAAAAACTTCCACGAAACCATGCTGCAATCGAGGTAGTAAGGCACTGGTTTCGAGATGTACTGTAGTGGCTTTCCAAATTACTCTCTTAAATTTTCACTGCAGTACTCATCAAGCTTATAGCTTTATAATTTAGTGCATATTAGAAGTTCATGCAGTGTGACAGTTCGGTCGGCAACAAAGTGGGTAATCTATCTCTAATAATCAAAAAGCCACGAGGGTTTCGAAAGCCTTAACATTGGTGGGATTTCCGTATACTCATAGTTGACCCAAAATGATCTGGGAGTCGTAGTAACTCATGGTCAGATAACCTAGGTGCATTGTTAATTTTTCGGCCAGTGTGTAATACATAAAAATGTAACGTTGATCGCCTGCAGTATGTTTACCGGCTTTGTATAGTCTTAGTTAGACGCAGTCTAAAGTCAGATAAGCAGTCAAAGACTTCCTCAACTGGTGCCACGTTTTCATCTGGGCACTCTGAACTCCTTTTTAATCTAATCCAACTTCATCTCGTGTGATATGTCAAGTTAGGCGGTGTGTTGGCATATTCAGTACAAGTTTGGTTCGCCTAATACCCTTCGTCTGACCTCCTCATTACTCACATGGTGATTCTACTAATCGTGGGTGATGCTAAGAAGACATGTGCCTTCTAAAACTGTAACCGC